TATTTGTTTCACCTCCTCCTTCTTACTGTAATTTAGTAATATGTCTTTAAGAAAACGAGACTGCGTTATGGCAACCAGCAGTCCCTGTTTAGTATCTTTAGTTATGTAACAGTACTATTAAGCTTACATATATTTAAAAAAAAATACATAATTATTTGTACAAGAACTAGGCAAGAGGAAAATAAGTCACCTGAAATGCCCTACCACCACCACTTAGGGACTCCGCTGTTCAGTATAAGCCTCACTCTGCTTGGCATTTTAAAACTGTGAGGATAGCTGGCTGTGATGCAGTCTCATGTGCTTTTAGTACTTTTAGGGGGGGTTATTAATATGGATGTGTTTTTCCTTAATTTACACTTCCGTAATTTTTAAGTGTCCTGTGGATGCTGACACTACTTGAAGGTTCAGATTTTTATAGAAAGATGTAAATTGAAGTCTTTACCACCTTGGTAGCCAGTGACCCTATAGCAGTATTCTATTTTGGTTATTTTAGTAAGAATTTTGATTAGATGATGTGAGTGTTCTTTGGCAGCAGTTTAACTAAAACCAGTCAACTCCTACATGAAAGGTCATAACTGTATTTTGATGTTCTGTGGAGTGGCTATTTGTGGTTTTGTGTTTTGCCTCTTAAGACCGCTCTTGTACTAGTCTGTGCATCACAGCAATGCCTAGATTTCTAATCAAAAAACTCCTATACTTTTTTTTGTGTGTGTGTGTGTAGATATATATGTATGATACTTCAAGATTCTTGAAGGCCAGGAAAGTAGCTCTCCTCTGAATAGTCTAGCATCTTTTTTCTTCAATAAGAATTTTAATCTATGTATATCAAATAATAGTAGGTGCATTTAGCTCTGTAAGGTTGAGGGCACAGGATCCTGTTTGCTTGGAAACATACTGCCTGCAATGTTAATTTTCCTGTACTGTGTGTATGTTACGAAGAAAGTTTGGCTTGGCCAGAGGAGAGTGGAGGTGGGAAAGTGTAAAAAAGGTATTTTCACTCAGTTTTTGGCTTCACATTCTTACCTGTTGCACCTATCTAAAACCAGGGCCAAAAGATGGACCTTGTTTGTTTGTGTTTACACTCATACATATGGTTTATGTATGCCTCTCTGTGTGTGTAATTTGGAAAGTATTTTAGAGTAAACCACATTGCATAAGGTGCTAGTTGAGAGTTTCCGTTATGTAAAGCTAAAACTATTTTGCAGATAAGATTGGTTATATATTTATTTCTTAGTAGCAGTCTTTCAAAGAACTTAGAAATTTGATTAGCAATAGTATTGATATGCGTGGGTCTTTTCTTAGCAGTCAGTTCCTCATGTCAGATAAACAGAGTCATCAGCCATCCAACTCTTCCAATTAGTATCACTGCTCATGAAGACAGACACATCAAATTCTACGACAACAATACAGGTATGCATCTTTTCAGCAGGTCCTAGTCATAGCGGTTGTATAACGTAAAACATAAAGAGAATTTCATTATGATGAATATTATTCACATAAATGCTGAGGGATGTTAAGAATTGCATATCCTCTGAAACAGAAGTGTCTCTCATCACCAGTAGAGCCCGAAGATTGCCAGCCCAGTTAAAACTTTATTGGCACAGTGATAAGGAACCTGCATCATTCTCTGTACTTTTAAAATGCCTTATTTATGGGGGTTATCAATATTTAACATAAAAGGAAGCTTTTTTAAAATGTTCGTGTTCTTATGTTCGTGTTTCTTCTTTTGTGCTGTCTGTGTTATTTTGATCTGAGGGCAGGAAGCTCTGGCACACCTTTAGTGCTTCCAAGATCTCTGCCTGATGACTTGGAGGTAGAAGTTCCCTTGCAGGCATCATTCTCAGTTTGATCCACTGTACTTCTCCAAATCTCTCACTTCTGCAGAAACAGATGGACAGCTTATAATACTTTTTCTAATTTGTAGTGAGAGTCGCACTGAGATGTGTAATTATAAATGTCTTGGGTTTTAAAAGACTTTTTGATAGGAAGGGTAGTATTGATCTGGTATTCTGACTGTGAATCTTGATAATCTTCAGTTTATAACTTCTCTGCTTCCAGGTCACACTGGCTTAAAAGTTAAATTGAGATCTTTCAGTATTCTTCTTGATTTTAAGTTTGCTACTCCCCAGATGTATGTTAAATGAGAAGAGATGAAAGGACCCAATAGAGGCTGAGGAAAAAGCTGAAAATAGCTGATTTGTTTGATAGTGTAGTTTGGTAATAAACAGTAGAGGAAACAGCTGCTCTTTTTTTCTTTTCTGTTTTATTATCTTCTGCAACAAAAAAAACCCACCTTGGAGCCATGATTTCTTATTTTTAACATGAAATCATTACTGTAATTATAATAAGCTGTGATAGAACATAAATTCTCTCCGAGTTGACTAAAATTATCCCATATTATTATGTAGTTTATATTCACTGCTTATTATGTGAGAATATTACTCACCACCTGTCCTCCTTCACAGTCAAGATATTACTCCTGAACTCACCTAATTCACTTAAGTGGCAGATATTTAAAACACATAGTGATTGCAGCTTCACGGTGGTTTTGCACACATAAAGGTCTAACAAAGTTGGTGATATTGGTACTGTGGCTCTCCTGAGACTGTAAACATTAAAAGAATGACTTCTTGCATAATTTTAATGATTCAGTCATGGGACAAGATGATATATATAATATGAGCTGTGGTAGGGTCTAAGCAGTGAATACAGATAACAAAGTGAACTGCAGAAAATAACCTAGAAAAATCTTTTCTTTTCAAAGGAAAACTGATCCACTCCATGGTAGCTCACTTAGATGCAGTTACAAGCTTAGCTGTTGATCCCAATGGCTTGTATTTGATGTCTGGCAGTAAGTACATTCAGATTTCATTTCCTTTTTCTCATAATCGTGGCAGACATGAGAATTATAAAGAAAACCGTTTCCCCTTTCTTTAGGTCATGACTGTTCAATTCGCTTGTGGAATCTCGAAAGCAAGACCTGCATCCAAGAATTTACTGCTCATCGCAAAAAATTTGATGAGTCCATTCATGATGTGGCATTCCACCCCTCCAAATGTTATATTGCCAGTGCAGGAGCAGATGCCCTGGCTAAAGTGTTTGTATGACAGAGTGCTTCCCTTTCAACTCTAGCTTTGTATATATTTAACCAGCTGCACAAAAGAGAGGAGGGGGGCATGAGTCTTCTTACGCTGCCCTATAATTCAGAGAATGTTTGTAAGTGTTTAGTTTTGCAGGGTGCTGTTTTCTAGATTGACGTTTGTTCTGGTTTCTGTGAGCTCAGCTGGTGCTGGGAGCTTGGAAACTCTCAGTTTCAAATAGTTTAAAAACAAAAGAAATGCTTTTATTTCAGAGGGTGTGAATTTTCGTCCAGGCAGGCCTTGGGTGAAACTAGGTCTATGTATTCTCTATTAATAAAAAGGAGTACTGGAAAGAAGGGGTCTAATTGCATCAGGGAGTAGGAAAAGAGGGAAACTTCCTAAGATGCTTTGCATTGAGGAATCTTAATGTGCTTAAAATTAAATCAGCTGGAAAAAGTGTCAGTTCACATGCTCATTACTGTGTCATGTGAGAGGCACTTTGTCATCCCTTTGGTATTAATAAAGTAGATCTTGTTCAGAGAGCAGTAGCAGATAGTTAATCTCAGCCACCTGGCTGCTAGCCGAAGACAAATGCAGTTAAAGGAAAGCAAACTACTAACATAAATTAAAATGCAGTAAAGTTTTTGTTAAATCTTCTGTGTTATACAGTAAACATTTAGTTTGCAAAAAAATTTATATATTTTTTAAAGACTGTATTAGCATGTGGCTAGAAGCTGAGCCTTTAGTCTAGTCCCAATTAACAACAGACTGAAGCAGTCTGTATATACTGCAGTAGCAGATTTAACTTACTCAGATTTATAATGCTGTTTATTCTTGGAGATCTGTCACAAAAAATTATCATAAAGCTTTCCAGAGAAGCTGTCCTACAATTTAACTATCAAACATTCATCTCCTCTTTCTGTTCCTGTCAAAAAGGGTATCGTTCTGGGCATTAAGGATAACAGTGAAATACTTCTTTTGAAGATTAAACTTATACCTGATGCTTTGTATGAGTCCTATTAGTGCAACACATGGTAACTATACAAAGTTCCATCAGTTTCAGAGATTCTGCTACTTCTAGAGGTATTTCCCAACTTCACCATTTGTGGAACTTTTTAACTTGTCTCCTTCACTGGGCATATTGTGCCATTGATTAGGTTACCCAAAGATTGAGTGCTTCTTGTAATTACTCAACAGATGTGCTTTGTTTATCTATTCGGAGCTTGTCCGTTGATTTGAATGAAAGTAACTTTCAAGCCAATCTTTTGGTCTTTTTATCCCTTCTTAAATGAAGGTGAGTGGATTCTTTTCTGTTATGTGTCATCATCAGAGTTATTAGTGCTCATAAGCTTGAAGTTGGTGTTTTCCTCTAATGGGAATGGAAGGCAGAGTTTCTGCTGGAGATGATTTCTGGTGCTGATACGAGTAGGAAAGAACCCAGTGCAACTCTTCCACATACCAGCCTGAGGCTAAGACTGGAAACTGATAAATAAATCTTTACCTTTAAACTGACACTTTTTAAAAAGGAATTATTGAAAGATATCAACATAGGATATGGCTGTGTTGTTTTTAGAGTGGCATTTGGGGATGGGACCACATTTGAAGCTGATCTCAGAGTTTAAATCAACTATATTATTTAGAATAAAAGGTTGACCTGTGCTGTTTGAGCCTGCAACACATTGTATTTACTGCTAAAATATCCTGGAATACCTTTTATTGCTCAGAATATTCAGATATGTCACTTCATTATATTGATATGCAATATATTTCCATAGATAAGATTAGAACTTTTACCATGAAACAGAGTACAATAGTAATTCAGATTATTTAGTTTTTATAAAGTGTTTTGGTTATGATGGAAAGGGGGAAACTTGGCTGCAAAACTGAGCATTCAACCTTGTGAGAGTTCTGTGTACTTGACTAATATTTTTTTCAGTGTCATTATTTTATTTCTTTCTGAAGAGGAAATTACAAAGATTTATTTGAAAATTCTAGAAGTTATGTATATTATATATGTGTATATATATTGTAAACATGTATTAAATGTGTCTAGTAAGGGAAGACTCTATGGGTGCATTTTAATGTTTTAGTATTAAGAGTTCTCTTGAGTTTGTGTATACAAAGGATAATGGTGTGAGTATGAAATGAATGTTGTGCTTTTGCTTACACAATACAATATGTAGTTACAGTTGTTTAAATTGCTGTACATAAAACTAATAGGCCAGCATGCTTGTTTTTAAAGACTGTCATTCTGATTACAATTGGAATGTAAGAAGTGGCTGTTCAAATGTGAATTGAAAGATGTTTCCTTCTCACTATTGAGCTCTTGCTCGAAACTGAAAAGTGATTTTTTTAAAAGCTGGCAATAGCTAGAGGATGAGGTGCCTTTAAAAAACAAAACAAAACAAATGTAGCCTTACAAAGAGGTTGTGGAGTATATATATTTTTGTGCTGGTCTTCATAATTGATGTCAATGTCTTTTTACTGTACTTGCTCACATACTTGTAGGACTGCAGGGTATTGTGCATGAGCCCGTCAGATCTTCTGAACATCATCATAGGAGTTAGGGGTAAAAAAGAACTATTTAGGTTATCTAGTCCATCTGCTTGCTAAAGCAGGGTTGTAGACTTGTGCATTTTAATATTGTCTTGGCCAGTGAGGTTTTATGTATGTTCTAAACAATTAGGCTTCCTTTCAAAGATTATTTCAATGATTGTGTCTCACTGACAGGAGGATTTACATGGTGTTTAGTAGGTCTTTTTTGTAACTTCATGCCAGTATTCCGAGCCGTGTTTTGTGCCATTTTACATATTCCTCATTGTCTTTGTAATTTGGAACCCGCATGCACGCGCTGGTTCTAGCTGTATACTTCCATTCCTTTCTTCAAGCTATTTTTAGTCTGCTCTTTTTACACAACTTTTTCTTGTTTTCAGCTTTTTAGCTCAGTTCTCCATATCTTGGTGCCCACAATACCATTCCACATGCATGATTTGTTGGACTTAGTCTGAAGGTCATCTCTTAAGTGTGGTTTTTGGTTGGTTGTTTTTTTCCTCTGTAACATGATGCTTTTTGTGTAGGAAGACCAAACTTTTGGTCTTCTGGTTAGTGTCTCACAAACCCAAATCGTCTTGGTTTTGGTGGTTTTTGTTTGGGTTTTTTTTTTTAATTTCTGACAACTTTTAAATAACTGAGCATTGCTGCTTCTCAACTTTCACTTTCAATATATTGTTATGATTCTTTTGCAGCTAGATACTCCTGTTTCATGATTGTCCTGGGTTTTATAAGCTTTGAACTTCTGATGTCTGAGGGCACTAAATTATTTTTATTTTTTCCATTTTACATGCAGTTCTTCCTGGTTCAATAGAATTGGTAACTTTCATTAATGTGATACATACATCTGTTGAAGATGTAAACAAAACTGGACCTAAGGCTTATTCTTGCAAAAAAGCATTTTTGTGCAGCATCAGTATATGGCATTTATCACTACTATTTTTCCCATATCTAATCTACGTGGTACATTTTTTAATGGTTAACTCATATAATTTTTTGTGTATGGTGGCCTGTGCTACTGATTTTGATTTTACTAAGTAATTTAATGGGAGAATTTTCAGTCCTTCCGTATGTTGAAAATTGGTCTGCTAGTTTTAAATACTCTCAGTTTTATTTCTAATCTACTTCACTGTGCTGTTTGCTTTCACATATTCGAGTTAGTTACCAAAATGCTTGCACAAAATGATCTGGAGTAGCCTGGAAGAAGCTCTAGATATAATTATATTGTGGAAAACATTTTCTTCACTCTTACAAAATCCTAGTGTCTGCATTTATTTTTTGTGCCTCAAAGAGAAAACTTTTGACATACCACGTGAAAGATTTTATTACTTGTAAGAAAATCACGCACTGAATATTTTGGGATCTCCATCTTTATTTTGATAGGATATGTTCTTTAGCAAGAAGCCCGTACAACAATGCCACATACTGTAGGTTACTTTTTAGGCTGTGTGATTTCAAGTATGTTACGTTAAAGCAGTCCCGTATGTAATGTGTTTGAGTAGGTGTGTGATGTTCACTGTACAGCTTTGTGGTTAGGTCATACAACACCATTTTGCAGTTGTGAATTTAGTAACCGGAAACTTGTCCTTTTGAATAAATGTGTCAGAGATAAAGGACTTAGTTACACCACCTTTTTCAGTACACCTGTTTGATCGCAGGTGTGTCCCCTTTCCCCACCTCCTTCCTCATGTTTTAACAATATAATTTTGGGGAGCAGGAATTTCTAGAAGTGTTAGTCCATACCAAAGGAAACAAAAAAATTAAAAAGTGGGCATAATCATCAGATAAGCAAGTCTTGATTTTTTTTTTTTTAATGCCTTTCAAGATGTGTATTTGGAAGCGTTTGCAGGCTGGTGGTTTGGCATTGTCTTTGTAGACTGTCCTAGGGAGCCTCCTTGACACCTGTGTGAAATGTGTAGTAAACCTAGTAAAACCTAGTAATGTGGGTTAAGAAAGAAAATGCAGCCATTGTGGTTGTCCCTGTGCCTGTACAGCAAGAGGCTATAGCAGTCTTCTGCTTGGAGTCTTTGCTGAAGCATCAGGTTTGCAGTCTAACGCGAGTAATTTCTGCAGCATGGGAGTATCTGCAAATGAGGTTATTTGTATTTTTACTTTGAAGATCTGTAGGTAGTGGTCATTTGGATTGTGTGCTGACCAGCAAGGGAAGCAGGGAGACCATTTGCCGAACTCCGTAAGGGATGGATAGTAGGTTAAATGGCCAGAACTGATGTGCCCTCCATGTGACTGGTGTCATCTTGGGAGAATTGGGTTGGGGAGCAGTGCAGAGTTTAGCCCAATGGTATTGCAAAGGAAACCATTAAAAAGTTAGAGTAGCAAGTTTAGCGAGGCTTTCCCATAATGATTCTTCAGATTTATTCATTTGTCCATTGGCTGCAGGTTATATGAAGGATAAAATCTAGTATATATCCAGATTCCAAATTATGCGCTCTTGCAGTAAAAGGTGGAGATTGTTCAAATTTCAGAACTATGTCACTTTAGATGAGGAGATGGCAGGAAATTTATAACAGCTTATTACTTAAATTCTAAGAACAGAACTTACTTTTCTATTAACAGTCTTCCTGTTGGCAACCCAGTTATGCAAAGATAAGTTCCTCATATGCTGTAGTGGGACTAATTGTTTGCTTCCAGATACACATTTATTTAAAAACAAAATTGCAGGACTAAGACTGTGTCTCATG